CTGGTTATTTCAGCAGGCAGGACTGGCCTAGGGGTATTTTAAAGGGGTTTTAAATTAAATTTTTAGTAGAAGCGGCCAAATTTGAATAGTTATTTTTAATCTTTTTTAAATTTTGTATTGTACTGTACCATTGTTTTAAACTGGCTGTAAGCCGCCCTGAGTCCTCCGGGAGAAGGGCGGGGTATAAATTTAATAAAATAAAAATCAAAAATCAAAATCAAATTATAGATTTGAACAAAATATTGGGCAAAACATTGGACATATTGAATGATATTTTTGAACTATAGACTTAGACATTAATTTTAATAGTGTCTGCCTCTATATAGTGTGGTTAAAAGAACAAGCTCTACCTGACAGGACTGACTTGAAAGTGGATTAAAACTGACAGGCTACAAGAATAACATGCTAGTGTTGTAGCATGCTTTTTCATTGTTTCATCGTTGTGATTACAGTGCTACTATATTAACCTGATTTGACATATTTTTGGAATAGGTTTTCTAACCTGGGCACTGTCCAAATGTGTGGAGTCCAAGATGCAGAATTTCTAACTAACATGGTCATTGTTGAGAAAGTTGAAATTGATCTAGACATATATCTGGGAAAGGCTATACTTCTAGCAATAGAAATATATGGAGATTATCAATTGAAAATAAAACTCCTATGACTTGATTATATTGTGATTTTCTGTTCCTTTCCAATTAGGCTATCGATAACGTGACTGCACCACACACTTTCCATGTAATATCTGGCTTACATCCTGGAATAACATATTGTCTTAAGGCTCAAGCATTTATTGAAGAACTGAATAAACCTGGAGAGTGGAGTAAAACCAGTTGTACCCAAACAACTAATAGTAATATAGTAGGTAAGAGCCTGGCCAGCCTTTAAGAAGGCTCTGAAGATTTTATTCTTCCAGTTGACACTGGACCAGAATGATATATAAGCTTATTGTAATATGAGCTCTGCATTTTGTCCCGGGTGCAGTACTGTACATTTTATTATTTTATTGTCTTTTTCAGTTATTTTCTTTAACCCTCATTAGTGCCCAGAGTTGAGTGGGCTACCATATAAACTGAACAAATAAATAAGATGTAACCCATTGCAAGTATCCTTTTGAAACCTTTTAGCTTTCTTGAATGGATTCTATGGCTATAATTATAAATTGTAACAATAAATAACTATTTAAATCTTGGGTTTTGCATAATAGGGCAAGGCAAGCATACAACCTGCTATTGCTTCTTCTCTGCAGCTAACATTAGCTATAATGCTGTCACAGTTATAATTATGTCATGAAAAATATTAGTAGATTAAAAGATATATGCATCATATGGTCCACAATAAATAAACAGAGCAGGTTTTCTTTCTTTTTTTCTTCCTTGCAGGGACAGATCCAATAACTGTGACAGTTATCTTCCTAACAGTATTGGCATTCATCATCTTCTCCAGTTGTATGATAGCTTGTATTTATCACCGGATCAAACGTTCCTTTTGCCCTTCATATTCTTTGCCACAACATTTCATTCAGGTTTGCATATTGCGCACTCTGTGTGTGTGTGTGTGTGTGTGTGTGTAAAGATAATTGGTATAATTTACCAAACAATGTGATGCATACTGCTTTCATGGTCAAAGATGTGGACATAAGCAAACCTCCCTGTCGTTTTGCTTAATTTAAATCCACTTAAACTGTAGTGCTGATAATTTTGGTCAGGGTTTAGCATAACAATCTTCAGGTGATAAAGTAAAATAACCCATTATTTCATTGATATACAGGGAGTCCTTGACTTATGACCACAATTGAGCGCAAAATTCCTGTTGTTAAGCGAGACATTTGTTAAATGAACTTTGCCCCATTTTATGACATTTCTTGCCCCAGTTGTTAAGTGAATCACTGCAGGTATTAAGTTAGTGGCATGGTTATTAAGTGAATTTCGCTTCCCCATTGACTTTGCTTGTCAGAAGGTTGAAAAAGGTGATCATATGACCCTGGGACACTGCAACTGTCATAAATATGTGTCAGTTGCCAAGCAGCTGAATTTTGATCACATGATCCTGGGGCTGCTGCAATGGTCGTAAGTGTGAAAAATGGTCATAAGTCACTTTTTTCAGTGCCGTTGTAACTTTAACGGTCACTAAATGAATTGTTGTAAGTCAAGGACTACCTGTATTACACAGTGGCATTTACATAAGATATTAAGCTGAGAGTGAGTAGTGTTTGAGGTTTGTGAGTTGTACTTCAGCTTCCCGGTCTTTAGAGCAGTGTTTCACAAACTTGGCAACTTTAACTTGTGTGGGCTTCAATTTCCAGAATCCCCAGCCAGACATGTTTTTAAAGAATTTAGCTATGCTGGCTCAGGATTTTTGGGAGCTGAAATCACACATCTTAAAAGTTGTCAAGTTTGAGAAACATTGCTCTAGAGAGCTAAAGAATGCACCCCGGAACACTGGAAGAGATATAACTGAATCTTTCTGGTTAGAGGGAAACAGCTAAAGAGCAGCTAAAATGGTGTGCAGTAATTCTTCTTTTTTTCAAATGAAAATCCTGCACTATTTTTATGTCCTCAGCTAAAGTCTCACAAATCTTCATTTGAGATTGCTTAGAACAGTGGTTCCAAACCTTTTCTGTACCCCGCACCACTAGAACACTTCTGATATATTCTCGCACCCCTTAACAAAACTTCAAAATAATGGCAATAAATTATGCATATACACTATAATTTTGAAAACCCAAGTTTTCGCATCCCCTGGAATATCGTGAGCTCCTCTGGTTGGGAACCCATGGCTTAGAAGATTTGGGGAGGGTTCCACCATACAAGATTCTGCAGGAATTTTTGCAATCTGAAAAGATTGCTAATTCTTGCTATAGTCGATGAAGAGTGTGTTTTGCTTTTCTTTCTACTGAGAAGTACAGCTCAAAACAGAGAAGCACAAATGGACTTACTGATTTCAGTTGGTAACTGCCTGCGTAATAGTATCCATTAGTGCAGTCTTTCTCAGCCTGGACTCTGAGTGGTCCCTGGAGGTTCCTTGAGAGATAATGTTGGGGGGGAAAATGAACAGTTTTTTTTAATAAATTGCCCATGCTAGCAGTTTCAAAAATGGGAAGTTTTATGTATCACGTATCAGCTTCAAACCTACCGCTTCACTGTCATTGTAAATGTAAAATGTGGATTATATAGATTAGAAGTGAATTGTGTTGCAAAATCTTCATATTTTTTGCCATTTTTATGCAGGGGCTCTTTGTGATCTCAAAATTATCCCAAAGGTTCCTCTGGGGTAAAAAGACTGGGAAAAGCTGCATCAGAGGCTCAATGAGAGAGTAGAACTTAAAAGGATTGCGCTGAGCCCTTTTTCTGTGGATGAGCAACTATCATTCATTTGCCTTGTTTGCCAAGATTCATGATAATGTAATTTTGCAAAAGAGGATGGTTGGGCAATGAATGTCTGATACATAATTTTTAATTATAAGTAGGTTTTTTTAAAAAAACATGAAATTATTGAAATCTAACTGGCTGAATCCTGTGGGATGAGACTTCAGAGGGTATTCTGACTTAAAATATTTCTCAAAAAAAGATGGCTATTTCTAATCTATTTCTTTGTCTTCATCCACAGTTTTTAAGCCATCCTTCTCATAGTTCACTATTTTTTGAATCCCAGCCACAGGGAGAGGATCATAACTATGACACACTTATTGTTCTTTTGGAGAAGTCCAAACAGTGCAATAGTGAATTGGAAAATAAAACAAGCAACATCAAACAGGAGCTGCAAGGATCTCAAGAAGACACCTTTAAACCTAAAGAAATTTCAAACTGTACAACTTTGCTTCAAGTTTGAAACTTGGGAATAATATACTGTACTTTAAGGAACTTATTGGAATTTACAAAAGGAACACTTTGCACATTATCAAGTCATTAATGGTGGAGTTTTTTTACTTGATAAAAATTTTATATGATTTTCTATTTTGGAAATTTATTTATACTAAAGCCTTAATTTTACACTAAAATGTAATAAGCAAGTTCAAGTTATTAAAATTGTATAACATTTAAAATATTCTGAATATACTTTATTCAGTAGTGTTTGCTCTATTATTTTGAAGAGCCTTTGACAAAAATAAAAGTATTCTTCTAGACTTTCGTTTGTGTTTTATTTATTTTATTTTTTATTTAATTTAATATAACTTGAAGGCTACTGAACTCATTGTCAACTTACAGAAAGAAAGAGAGAGAGAGAAGAGAGCTCACGATGAATCAGGAAAACAAGCACTCTAAACCAAGCATAATAAAAGGACTTCCATAACTACCTTAGGCTGGGAAGAATGAGATTTCTTGAAAGTCATAAGCTGGAAGCCTCATGAATCTTTGGATCTGGTTTTATTTCAATAAAACATATACCGGTATTCAAGATTATATGACTTTGCAGGTCACACAATGCACAGTAGCTAAAGTATTTGTCCATGTCAAGCAAAAATTGTCTATATCTATATCTATATCTATATCTATCTATCTATCTATCTATCTATCTATCTATCTATCTATCTATATATCTATATATCTATATCTATATCTATCTATATATATATATATATATATATATATATATATATATATATATATATATATATATATATATGTTGTTTATTGAATTAGAAACAATGATGTTTAATGAGATACACAGCTAGAAGAGATGTACAGTATATGCAGTTTGTTACATTGAAATCCATTCTAAAACAGTTGAATTAGGATCACAGTTTTTAATATCACAATCTATTTACAAAATCTATTGATCTATTTTCAAATTCCGATGCTTTCATTTTTAATTAAATAATAATCAACAACAAATAACCTATGTTGTGCACAAGATTTTCCATATTAATGAGACCAATAGGAGTTCTGGTTGTACTTGATGATTGCTATTCACTCCCAGTTTGTTCCTGAACTGATATTATTTGTTGTTTCTTTTTATAATAATTTGTATTGAAATTTAAATTTACAAAGACAAAAAAATGAATACCAAACGAAGGAGAATATAAACAAGAAAAAAAATAGAAAGTGCAAATATATATATTTGCAGTATTGCAGGCTAATTCAGCTCTCTGCCAGGAGTTCGAACCTGACGGGGCTCACGGTTGACTCGGCCTTCTCTCCTTCCAAGGTGGATAAAATGAAGACCCAGATTGTTGGGGGCAACATGCTGACTCTGTAAACTGCTTTGAGAGGCCCCTAAAGCACTACAAAACTATATATGTCTAAGTGCTAGTACTATAAAATAACTAAACCAGATATATGTATGTGTGTGCTTAAACAAATGTTTAACACTTCATCAAATTTAAAAAAAATTCCATCAATAGCTATTAGAAAAATTGAAAATATTAATCTTTAAGCCCTTTCAATAATGTTCCTCAAATTAATTTCTTATCTTTTTCATCTTGATCATAATATTGTAGCTTATCACTTTCTCTAAAAATGCAATAAAACTCTCTTTTCTTATCTTCCTCATAAACAAATTTTTAAAGCCTCATCATTCCATTCTAGTCAAGAAAAACCCATTAAAAGCTATCAAAAAACGGGGGGTCATATACAATTTAATTTTGAGTAAAGAGGCCCACTTTGCAAGCCTTCATTTTAGTTTTAAAGATCTTGCTTATTTATTTTAGGTAATATTCCAAAAACTATTTTTTGTTTTTCTCAAGAATCCCTTCATACGTGGGTACAAGACACATCCTTTTTAAATCCAAAGAAAAAAATGCCAGAGTCACATTTCTGAGTTTAAAATCCATGTATCCATGTCATTCTTCTGGTTTATTATTTGTATATCCATTTTAACTAATGAAATAATAGCCAGTTTCATTTGTTGATATTGTATAACATCTTTGTTAATATCATTTTTACATCCTGTAGTCTTAAATCCATATCCCCAAAACCTGATTTTCAAACTACATCATCTTCTATCTCTTCTTTTAAGTCCACTTTTATTAATCAAGAGAGTCTAAAGAATAAATGCTGGGTATTTTGTTGCCAAATATCTTTAAATTCTTGCAGAGTTAAAATATTCTTTCTGGTTGCCTGTAATAACTATCCTTCAAGCTGTCCTCTCATGTTTTTTTTTCTCATCCAGAATATTTCCCAAGAAGAGATTTCTTATACTTAAACTCAGAGCTTCGTGTACTTTAATAGGATTTTAAACAAACAAGAAATATGCTTCAAATTTGTTTAGTTTCCAATCAATCTGGCCTTCTTAGTCAGTTTAAAATCTTTTCAAAATCAACATTCTAATCACTCACTGCTTATTTCCAAACTTTAAACAGAGTTTCTCAACCTTGGCAACTTTCAGATGTGTGGACTCAACCTTGGCAACTTTCAGATGTGCAGAGCTGGCTGGGGAATTCTGGAAGTTGAAGTTCACGCATCTGCAAGTTGCCAAGGTTGAGAAATACTGCTTTAAAAAGTCATTCTTCAAGTTTTGAACTTACATAAATCTTCTTTCATTGTGGATTATAGGAAAATCATCTAGTCTAAGAAAACTTGTCCTTCTGAAAGTTCTTAACATTCAAAAAATGATGTATAAGCCATTTCCAATAAAAAGTGGTTGAGAGGAGAGATGGGCACACCCAGTCTCCTTATGAAAGGCTCTAACCACAGCTTGGACAAAGCTGTTTCTTCCTGCTCCCAGAGCTCTAAAACCTACTGCAGACCATTACTTTAAGGCCCTGTTCCAGAGAGCATCTATAAAGAGCCCTGGACAATATGAAGTGTCTTTTCTGGAGGGGAATTCAGAAGGCTGATTCCTTTACCACTGCACTTTCCATTGCACTTGTCGGCTCCAAAGACACAAAGACACCTTAGTCTGCCATTACTTGCTGGAAGATTCTGCTGAACATTGGGAGGCAAGGAGGCCTCTTCCCTTCTAACTGGTATGCACAATAAATTGTTATCTGAAGGAGCAATATTGGCATTTACTGTTGTGAATTCAGTAATGAATGGTCCATATTTATAAATGTCCCTGAGTTAAAAACTGGGGCTGGGGAACTGGATGAAGGTAGTAGGCAAGTAACGCTCTCCCTCAATGATATTTGATTCTTCTTCTCGTTAGAGATAGCATAGGCCAGGGATGGCAAACCTTTTAGAGACTGAGTGCCCAAACTGCAACCCAAAACCCACTTATGTATTGTCGAGTGCCGGGTGGGTGTGACCCATTGGCTGGGTGTGGCCCATTGGGTAGGCGTGGCCAATTGGGTGGGCATGGCTGCACTGGTAACGGCAGACTGGGTGGGACTAAAAAGTTCAATCAATCAATTCCAACTTTGCAAGAACTTTCTTTTTCCCGTGAGAAGTTGAAATTGACTGATTGAACCTTGTTTTTTTTGCACATAGCAGCGGAGGCCTAAAGCGAAAAGGTTTTATAAAACCCAGCTGAAGGCCTAGGACTGGGGTGACGATGTGCGTGCCCACAGAGAGGGCTCTGAGTGCTGCCTCTGGCACCCGTGCCATAGGTTCACCACCACTGACATAGGCTGATGGATCAGAGTTCTCTAGAGGATTCCAATGAGGCATAATTTTTCTTCAGAGAGAGAAAGTATAATGGACTCCTTGCTTTCCAGTGATTAGGAATTATTTTGCTCCAATTCTATAAAGGCAGCAGCTGTCATTCCTATAGCATTGGCTTGAAATTCCTGTAGATTTTAAAAGACAATTCATGTTCTTTTCTAAATCCAAATTCTTTAGACCAATGGATGTTGGATGGAGATTGATCCCCTAAACCAGGGGTAGGCAACCTCGGCTCTTTTATGACTCATGGACTTCAACTCCCAGAATTTCTGAGTCAGCATAGCTGACTCAGGAATTCTGGGAGTTGAAGTCCATGAGTCATAAAAGAGCCGAGGTTGCCTACCCCTGCCCTAAACTCTGCTGAAGATGTTAACTAGCCTGGTAACAAAACATTCAGAAACCAAACCACAAGCTCTGAGAATGAACCTTCACCCTCATTGGTATTCTCTGTTTCCTCTTTTGGTTTCCTACTTAAAAATGAAGATACTGGGTTAAGGTACTTTACAGTTGCCTAGGATGTAAATGTTTTTCACAGGTTGACAGAAGCTGTATATTTGATACCTAACCATCCTATTTCATATCCAGAGGCATTTTCTTGGCATGTGAAACTGATGAAAAGTAACTACTAATATCATAAAAATTAGCATTTAGGAGCCAAATGATAATATGAATACCTAAGAATTCCTTTTACAATGTAACACCTTAGGTGAGTTAATCCAATTAATCCAGTTATAGTGGAAGCTGCTTATAAGAAGGGCAATTTGATTAGTTTGCATCTTTCTTGGGGGGGGGGAGCCCTCTTCAATGAAGTGATTTTATTACTAAGGAGTTGGTTGCTATATAATCAACTTTGTCTTTGTTTGAGTTCTATTTGCCCCATCAGTTTCTAACAGCCCACCCTTCAGTTTCTCCCCAAAATAGTGCATTGTCTTTGAGAAACATATTGTCAAGTCCTCAATGTTTTGATTCAGGAAAAATTCTCAAAGAGGCCTGACAAAGTTTTAAGTATCAGCTATGTTTGCTTAGTAAGAACTGATGGCCAAATCTGGCCATAGGTTCATGCACCAGAATGCCAGGCCTCCAATTATGCAAGCTGGGACAGGAAGATCATTTAATTACAATTTATTCAGAAAGTTCTATAAAAGCGAATCCTCTCGTGCAAAGAGAGAACCCAGGTATCAACTTTCATTCTATTTTATAGTTAACACATCAAACACATCTCCCCCCCTCCCATAGGAAATCAATTACACGAAGTCAAATATGTTACCTGTTTAAACCCCATAATACTAAGCATGTTCATTCATATAAGCTTCAAGGAACCTGTGGGTGTAGAATTTAGGATGTTAATGAGGAAAAAATATCACAAGGTTACCTAGAGTCCACAGAGAGACAAACCAGATATCAATATACACTAAAGAGTTCTCTATCTTATCAGAAGACAACTACAGCATCCTTTTAAGACAACACACTAAGACAACACACATTCTCCCCTGGAGAAGATAAAGATACTTTATCTTTCAGTTCAGGAATGTTACAAAGTATTAATCAATCCATCTGCAGTAACAGGTAAAAAGCTTGCAATAGTGGTGAATATCTGTAGCTCTGGTGTAGGATGAGGGTGAAGGTTCCTTCTCCGAGCTTGGTTGTCGGGAATTTATATAAGCATAATACCGAAAGTGTCTAAATTGATAGAAGAGAATATTTGAGGTTCAAGATTGAACTCTGGTGATGTCTTAGTGCTGTCTCAGCTTGGTGGTTTTCTTGTAGGCGTTCCGTTACCAAACTAGGTAACATCGGTGCTAGCATCACCAGTGCTAGAGAGCACCAAAGATCCCACCGTGTCTGGATGTTTAACTATCCAGTGTTTCTCAACCTTGACAATTTTAAGGCATGTGGACTTCAACTCCCAGAATTCCACAGCCAGCAATGCTGGCTGTGGAATTCTGGGAGTTGAAGTCCACATGCCTTAAAATTGTCAAGGTTGAGAAACACTGATTTTTCAAACCTCATTCTAACATATTTGTTTGAAACATGTGCTTTTATTCCATCTGACCCATTCTATTTTGACACCTTCCCTAATAAAAGAGGGTCTAAGTGTATTTCCAGCTTTTCCCATCCCAGAAAGAGTAAGATTTATACTCTTTACTTTCTATAATCGTTTTGTTTTTAAAATCAACCTTTAAACTCCTCCCCCTTTATTCAGAATGAGGCCGAGAAATAGTACAGAAATGGTACAGTCCTCCAGTTCAGCGCAGCCCATTTCTTAGATTTATATTGTTGAAAGCAACCGTGATCCTAAGAAAGATAGATACCCAACGACGAGTCCTGTATTATTTATACGTTGTGTTGTCTAAGAAACCGTGTTTCCATCATTTGCATCTGGCTCAGATGAGTAGCTCTTTCGGATTTCCGAGGCAGCCAAAGAATTTTAGCTCGATTATTGGGCTGTCAAGGCACAACCTAAAATTCAGCTGAATGTTCTTTTACGTTCGTGCAATTGCGCAATGCTTTTAGGTAATCTCGCGCAACAGAAAAGGAAAAAATGCAAGTGAAAAACAGTAAGAAAAGCGTGTGCTCCTCTGTACTTTCTATATTCTGTGTGAATAAAGGGTTCCTTGCGAGGGTGCTGGCCACATCCTAGTCAGTGGTTGCAGCCCGTCCGGTCATGTGACGCGACTGTTTGGGGCAAGGCCACAATAGCAGCCGGAGATGATCGGAGTTAGTCCATGGCTACTCGTATCGCTTCGGAACGGCGCTTAGCTGGAGCGAGGCATGGAAGGGGCGAGCCTGTGGTTTGTGGTGGCAGCCGTGCTGAGAATGGGGTCGAGGACTTCGGGTAGGTTCCTTCATCTTTCTCCTTTCTGGTCTGCTTTTAATGCCGTCTCGTAAAGAGATGGAATTGGTGCCCTTTTGGATGTAACGGATAACAGAACAAGCGAGTTGGAAGGGACCTTGGAGGTCTTCTAGTCCAACCCCTTTCTCAGGCAGAAAACGCTATACAGTTTCAGACAAATGGCTGTCCGATCTCTTCTTAAAAATACCAGTGCTGGAGCACCCACAACTTCTGAGTTGTAGAACACTGGTTAATTGTTCTCACTGTCAGGAAATTTCTCCTTACTTCTAGGTTGCTTCTCTCCTTGATTAGTTTCCACCCGTTGCTTCTTGTCCTGCCTTCAGCTGCTTTGGAGAATAGCTTGACTCCCTCTTCTCTGTGGCAAATATATTATAGCCAACACTCCAGAAGACAGGCTTAGGATACAGGAGGACCTGGACGGACTTGAACACTGGGCGCTATCTAACAAAATGAAATTCAGTGGTGAAAAAAGTAAGGTTCTACATTTAGGCAAGAAAAATCAAATGTATAGGTATAGTATAGGGGGTACCTTGCTCAATAGTAGTAACTGTGAGAGGGATCTTGGAGTTCTAGTGGACAATCACTTAAATATGAGCCAGCAGTGTGCTGCAGCTGCCAAAAAAGCCAACGTGGTGCTGGGCTGCATTAACAGAGGGATAGAATCAAGATCACGTGACGTATTAATGCCACTTTACAATGCCTTAGTAAGGCCACACTTGGAATACTGCATCCAGTTTTGGTCACCACGATGTAAAAAAGATGCTGAAACTCTAGAAAGAGTACAGAGAAGAGCAACAAAGATGATTAGGGGACTGGAGGCTAAAGCATATAAGGAAAGGCTGCTGGAATTGGGTATGTCTAGTTTAACGAAGAGAAGGACGAGGGGGGACATGATAGCAGCGTTCCAATATCTCAGGGGCTGCCACAAAGAAGAGGGAGTCAAGCTATTCTCCAAGGCACCTGAAGGCAGGACGAGAAACAACGGATGGAAACTGATCAAGGAGAGAAGCAACTTAGAACTAAGGAGAAACTTCCTGACAGTTAGAACAATTAACCAGTGGAACAACCTGCCTCCAGAAGCGGTGAATGCTCCAACACTGGAAGTTTTTAAGAAGAGACTGGACAGCCATTTGTCTGAAATGGTGTAGGGTTCCTGCCTGAGCAGGGGGTTGGACTCG